ATCCTGGCATTGCTGAGAAGGGTTCAGTTTAACAATCTTAGTCATCACACAATGTGGCTGTTATTGTGTACAACATTCTCCTGGTTCTGCTCACTTCACTCAGCATCAGGCCATACAAGTCTTTCCAGGTTTTTCTGAAGTCAGACTGTTCATCATTTCTTCCAGCACAATAGTATTCCATTACATTCATATACCACAACTTGCTCAGCCATTCCCCAATGGATGGGCATCCTCTCAATTTCCAATTCTTTGCCACCACAAAAAGAGCTGCTATGAATATTTTTGTACATGGGGGTCCTTTTCCCATTTGTATAATCTTTTTGGGATATAGCCCTAGAAGTGCTATTGCTGGGTCAAAGGGTATGCACATTTTTATAGCCCTTTGGGCATAGTTCCAAATTGTTCTCCAAAATGGTCGAATCATTTCACAATTCCACCAACAATGCATTAGTGTTCCGATTTTCCCACATCTTCTCCAATATTTATGATTTTCCTGTTTTGTCATGTGGCCAATCTGACAGGTGTGACGTGGTACCTCAGAGTTGTTTTGATTTGCATTTCTCCAGTCAATTATGATTTAGAGCATTTTTTCACATGACTATAGATGGCTTTAATTTCTTCATCTGAGGACTGTCTGTTCATATCCTTTGACCATTTATCAATTGGGGAATGGCTTGCGTTCTTATAAATTTGACTTAATTCTCTATATATTTTAGAAATGAGGCCCTTATCAGAGTGTCTCTCTCATTCTTAAAAAACCTTGACCTGATCCGATCACCTCCACTGGTAAGCTAAAGCCTTCTTCCCCTTGATAGCTAAACTCCTTGAGCAAATCATCTATGCTCACTGCCTCCTATCCTCTCACTCAATTCTAAACCCTCTGTAATCTGGCTTCTGGCATCATCATTCAACTGAAACTATTCTCTGAATTTATCAATAATCTCTTAAGTGTCAAAGCTAATGGTCTTTTCGCATTCTTCACCCTTCTCAACATCTATGCAACTTTTGACACTATCACTTCTCTTGGATATGTCTCTCTAGGTTTTCATGACCCTGCTCTTTGCTGATTCTTCTCCTACCTACCTGACCGTTCCTCCTTAGTCCCCTTTTCTGGATCTCCACCCATGTCATATTCAAAGATATCCTCATTATAAGTGTAGATCGTTCTTAAAGGTTTTAGAGTAGGTTGGCCTTTCGATAGGAATGGCATCTGTGATTTCTTCCATTCTCTCAGCCCCGCCCTAAGCTAGATCTTGAATAGAAAGCCTAGCTTGGGCTTGGTTTGCTGGAGCTGTTCTGCTCGACTTTATCTCTCTGCTTGCTTTTCATGGTATTTGGGGTCACTGAAGCAGCATGAATCCAAGCACAGGGGTTTCCAATCTCACTAGATTTTTCACCTACTGGCTGCCCCACTTTCAGTTTCAAATGTGAATGTTCTTGGAAAAAATGTGTCTTAATTGGATGGACTTATTTTCTTTGTTGCTTGTGTTTTAGAAGGCCAAACTATGAATCTTCCACTCTCCTCCTCCATAATCTTCTAGACAGCAATTTTGCATTCTAGGCCAGGGCTGCCCTGGGTTACCCTATCTGTTCTTGCCAAGATCAAACGCTTGCCAGCGGTTCTTCTGGGCTCTTTTGGCTTCATCACTATGATGACTGCTTTATAGCAAGAAATAAGTTTCTGCAGGAAAGGCCTTAACCCGAGTCAAAAGCTTTACCTTTTTGCATTTTCTGACATCAATAGCATTGCTGAGTAGGTATTTGGAAGCTCTTGTAATGGTGTCTTTTTATCTTCATTTCTTCTTCTAATCTGACATTGGCATATTAGATTAGAGGCAGTTTAGTAGCAGAATGGACCAGCTGGGCTTAAGGTCAGAAAGACCTGAACTCAAGTATGATCTCAGACTCTTATCAGCTGTGTGACCTTGGGCAAGACACTTAACCTGTGTATCACAATTTCCTCATCTGCCAGGGCTGTTGTGAAGACAAAACAAGATAATATTTGGAAGGTGCTCTGTAAACCTTAAAGCATTATATAAATGCTAGCTATTATTACTGAATTTAATATTTTTCATCTAATTATATCATCTATTCACATAACAAACAGCTAGTACAGAAATATCTCCAACATCAGTTAACTTCTAATTGTTAAAATACGTGTAAAAAAAAAAACCAGCATAAGATGTTGCTCTTTGCTCACCACGTCCAGCACAGTGAACTCTCTTCTAGAGAGTACCTAGGGGTATGGCAATAATCTATAAACCTTGGCCTCTTTCATTTCTTAAACCCAAACCACATCTGCCAGTGTACTTTCCTTCTCCTCCTCTCTGTCCACCTAAGCCAAGGAGCACCAAGGTCCACGCTGACTTGGCTGACCCTCTTCAGCTCTTCATTTTATTTTCCCTTCTACTTCACTCTTTGCAGCAGGTGTTTGTACAAAGACATAATTATTTTCATGATAGTCTTTTTGTTTATGCTCAAACACGGAAGACTCAAGGCGGGATCACCATTATCCCAGACATTCTTATTGCCTGTGGGCACATGATCGAATCAATTCCTCTACAAGACTCTCCAAGGAAAACCTGTGCACCATCCTTCCAACTTCCTCGTCTTCCAGGCTGTTTTTCAGCAAAAACGTAAACGTGGATGTAATTCAGTTTTCCAATAATATATCATCTTGTTAGTCACTGGGCACTCCCCAAATGACAGCTGCCATACATTCTGAGAATTGTGATTGACTCCCTCTACTCTTTTCACCATTCTGCCATTACCACAGTGCACCAGCACTCAAAGTATGGCCAACTTCCTGACAAGGAGCCCCTCCAAACCTAGGCACGTTGAGTCACCAGAACCAGACCCCAAGTTTTTCCCACTCTGTAGAACCTGTCAGAGCTCAAACTCAATTGGCATAACCTTCAAAACCCCAAGATCACCTTCATTCCCCCAAGAAGGCATCAGAGAAGGACTTCCATTAAGTATTCTAGCATACTCATCATGAAATACTCTATACTACAATCATGTATATTATGTAGACAGGGGTGTCAAACTCAAACAGACACAGATACCAATTAACGTTATCTCAGTTGTATTATATTTTAATTAATTTTGTTAAATATTTCCCAATTACATTTTAATCTGGTTTGGGCTGCACTTGAATATCACAGGCCTCTTGAGCCTAGCAAGCTATGAGTTTAATACCTCAGATGTAGAGGAAAAGAAGCTAGACTTTTAAGTAAGAAGAGACCTGGGTTTGGATTCTGCCTCATGTTTACTAGTTGTATGACCACACGCATGTTACATAAGCACTAAATTCAGCTACAGTTCCCTCATCTTTAAAATAAGAACAGAACTTGTAACAATTTCCTCTCAGGGCCTTTTATGAGGCTCAAATGAGGTAATTTATGCAAATTATTTTATCAGCAATTATCTCTGCACTTTCTGATCTATCGCTCTCATAAGACACTATCTGATACAGTGGAATGAACCCTGGATTTGGACCCAGGAGACCCTGGTTCAAAACCTGGTTTTCCTTACTGCTAATGTGACTTCAGAGGGTCACAAACCTTTCAGAGATTTGGTTTCCTCATCTGTAAAATAAAAGGCTTGGCTTCGAGGATCTCTAAGAGCCCATTCCAGCTCTAATGCTCTAATGACTCTAAGAAGCAGGGCTGACAGGGCCAAGACTGTCTTAGCCAGACTTCTTGTTTACCTCCAGTGTCTAACACCGTGCCTTGAGTCAAGCAGACTCCTGAGTGCTTACTGAGTTTGAAATGCTGGTTTAAAAGAATCATTCATTATTTTGTAGAGTCACACCTCAATGTACGTCATTCAGAAGATATTTGCTAATAATCTTGGTGAAAATTCCACTAAATCGGTGCTTATGTTTTTATTTCTGTATGAGCTTTAAAAGTAAAATGGCCCACATTAAAATAAAAAGGATTTGTACAAATAAAACTAATGTAGCCAAGATTAGACAGAATGCAGAAAAGTGGGGGAAAAATTTATAGACAATTTCTTAGATAAAGGTCTCATATCTCAAATATATAAATCATTCCCTAATTGATAAATGATCAAAGGATATGAACAGAAAGTTTTTGGATAAAGAAATTAAAGCTAACTATAGTCATAAAAAAAATGCTCTAAATCATTATTGACTAGAGAAATGCCAATGAAAACAACCTTGAGATTTCATCTCACATCTATCAGATTGGTTAAAATGACAGAAGGGGAAAATAACAAATGCTGGAGGGAGTATGGAAAAAGTGGGACACTAAACTGGTGGTGGAATTGTGAACTGATCCAACCATTTTGGAGAGCAATCTGCCCAAAGAGTCATAAAGCTGTGTATACCCTTTGACCCAACAATACCCACTATCCAGGTCTGTTTCCCAAGGTGATCAGAACCTGTACGTTCTAAAATATTTATAGCAGCTCTCTCTGTGGTGTCAAAACACTGAAAATTGAGGGGATGCCCATGAATTGAGGAATGGTATATTGTGGTATATGATTGTGATGGAATGCTACTGCACTTTAAGAAATGATAAGCAGGTTGATTTTAGGAAAACATGGAAAGACTTGTACGAAATAATGAAGAGTGAAATGAGCAGAACCAAGAGAACGTTGAATACAGTAACAGCAAAATTGTTCGAAGAATAATTGTGAATGACTAAGCTATTCTGAGTATTATAAATATTCACATCAACTACAGAGAACCTATGAAGGAAGATGCTCCAGAGAAAGAAAAGACTGATAAATGGAAGTATGCATAGTATGGTGTGCTTGTGTGTGTGCGTGGGGGGGGGTTGTGTATCTATCTATATACATATATACATACAGATACATACATACACATATCTATCTATAGGTTGATAGATATATCTGTGTCAAATGGAGGCCTTCTCTAGTGTGGGGTAGAGAGGGAGGGAGACAGTTCAGAACTTAAAAAGGTAAAAAAAAAAAAAGAAATTAATAAAACGGCCAGTCCCTTCAACCGCTCTCACCTTGGCTGCATGATAAGTACTAGCTTCAAGTAAGTCTTCTCTTTCGGCTTCCTTGGCAAGCAGATTAAAGCGACTTAACATTGCAGCCTTACACAGACGACTCGCCATTGACATACCACTTTTGAAGGGCGAACTAAAGTGGAGGAGAAATAAACATCTGCTCCATGACTAATCGAAATATTAAATTAACTCTACTAGCATTTACTGACATATTTCAACACATATTCAATAACTGTGGCTGAGGCAATGAAAACACTCAATAAGACACTTGAAAACATTTCATGGTTGCTGCAGCATTGCTGAGACAAAGACTCTTACGGGAAAATTTATACCACTATTTTTTGGGGGGAGTTGAGGCAATTGGGGTTAAGTGACTTGCCCAGAGTCACACTGCTAGTAAGTGTTATATGTCTGAGGCCACATTTGAACTCAGGTCTTCATGACTCCAGGGCCAGTGCTCTATCCACTGCACCACACAGCTGCCCCATCCCACTATTCCAAGTCCTTTCCTGGGCCTGTTTCTTTTTAGCATAATAATATATCAAACACATATATATATATATATATATATATATATATATATATATATATATATATATATGTATCAGAGAAACCTACATAAAACCAGTCTGCCCTTCATAATAAAAACTCTTAGGATTGTTTGAATCCCACCTCAGCCTGCCTCCTCCATTACCAGGAGGGAGTGTGGCTGAGCCAGGAAGAAACCCTTTCTAGAGCCCCAAAGGTTCACTCCATCCAGCTGATCTGTTTCCTGTGAGGAAGGAGTAAAGGTGAATGAAAAAACCACCCAGGTTCTGGAAGTGCAGAATTCTTGTTTTGTTTTCCTTGCTATCCTACATGCCTGCAGTGTATCTTGGGGCCAAGTCCTCCACTAGCATCCCCAAGGAGTCAGCCCCAGGCAAGGGAGTACAGAAGCATTCCTTCATCACTGAACATGGCAGCCTTAGGTGCCAGGAAAGGGCTCCGGCAAGGTAGAAGGCTCCTTTTAACATACGTGCATGGAGCCACGGAGAAAAGCACAAGAGAGAAGCAAATACTTGGATGGCTAAGTACCTGTCAATATGATCTCATGACAGAGGTCGTAGTTGAAGGCTGAAGAGAGGGTTCCAACTGTGGATTCCCTGGAGAGGAGGGAACTTCCTCCATCAACACATATTAGGAACTCACCTAAAAGCCACAAACTTAGGAAGTGGCCAGTGGCATTGAAAAGTTAAGTCACTTGGCCAGGGTCCGTTTTCCGGACTCTAAGGCCACCTCCACCCACCACACCACACTGTTTCTCAAATGGCATGTGCAATTTCAAAATGAGATAGCAGGACTAGGAGGGTAAAGATCTAGAGGTGAAAGAGGGTTTATAATCTAATCCAGCTAGGCAGTGAGTGGATGAGGAAGAGGCTGGGGGAAGGACTGAGTTCAAACTATGCATCAAACACTGGGCCCTGGACAAGTTCTGTGACACTAAGCCTCTGCTCAGATGAGATAAGATATGCAAGGAGCTCCACAAAGCTTACAATTCTACAGAAATGCTCGTTATGATTATTGATCCAACTCCTCTTTTCATTGAAGAGATGTTGCCTGAGGTAAAATGGCTTGGCCCAAAGGTCACAGAGCTCCTGAGCTGGGTGGAACTCCCTGTCTCATTTATTAGGGGCACCTAGAGAAATATAACTTTAGAAGAGAAGAAACTCAAAGCAAAAACAGACTCAATGTCACTAAGTCCTAAGAGACTGGGATAGGAAAAACAAAGCTGCCCTTGGAAAGCCTGGGGTCCAGGCCAGGCTGGGGTCCATGTCAGTGAGCTTTGCAATGTCCCCAAAGGGTGGACTACAAAGTACTATGGGAACTCACAGGCTCATGGGGCTTCCAATCTCAGCAGAAGTAATTTTCTATCCACAGTTTTGTGAGGTAACCAGTAACAAACACGGAAGCCAAGGGTTAGATGGGAAGCAACTTGTCCAGGGACACTATAGTAAGAAATAGCAAGCCAGGTATCCCCATTCCCAGTCTGGGGACTCTTCCATTACATCCTGCAGCCTCTACAGAAGGCAATGGGAGCAAGTGGGGCATTTAGGAAAACAGCCCTCACCCTCTCCCTCCCCCCAACCAGTTACAAGGGGCACTGGAAAGGAATGTCCTCTAGCAGCCCTCTTAAAAGAGAAAAATAATTTGGTGTCCTTGGAGTCCTAGAAGTCTACCAGAAGATATATCTATAATGAGGCAGCGCATCTGCAAAGACTGTAAGTAACCCAATCGACGTCCCTGGGTTCATCCCTCCATCCTGCTGTCAAGGCCAGGCCAGGTTCTGCATTCAAGACCCTGACTGACCACTGTTCCACTGTGTGAAGTTCAAAGGACCCAAGATTCATTACTGGGCACTTCTCAGCTAAGCACAGTACTTCTGAAAAGAAATGCTCAGAGAAGAAGTAGCTAGAAGATGGCAGCACCAACATTCTCACTCATCACCCTGGAGGAGGGCAGGGGCAGCATGGCCTCAGAATCAGGAGACTGGGATACAAATCCTGCCTCCACCCTCATTAGCTGTGGGAGCAAAGGCAAGTCACTTCATCTCTCTGTGAGCTGGGGACCTGCCCCTCAGGGATGCTGGGAGGGCCACATGAGACAGAGGATAAAAAATGCTTTGCAGGCCTTCATATGCTACAGAGATTTCAACTACGATGATTGTAAAAGATGCTTGTTGATCAAAATTCCATACTCATCAATGGAATGCTACAGAAGCTTCATAATTACAAGAGAATATTTGGGTTACAGAAGACAGGAATATCTGAAGCTTCCTTTGTGTGATTTAAGCAGGGGGAGGGCAAGGGAGGATCCCTACCTGGAGGAGGAATAGATAACAGAGGGAAAAGACTGGTGAAAGTTCCACAGGCTTTTAACCCTGTGAAACTTGCTATTTTCTACAATGGCACATCCAGCCTAGAGAAATGGCTTGATTTGAGGCAAAACAATGATTTCAGCTTAAGCTGCTTTTGCAAAGACATTTACATTTCAAAGACTCTAACTGAGCACCACCTCAGAACCATCTCTAGCTTCACACATTTCTAAAGCAGCTTCAATTCAGTCAGTCAAGACCTTATTAAAGTGCTCACTATGGGCCAGGGACTGGGCTAAGTGCTGAGGTTACAAAGAAAGTTGTAAAAATAAGTCCGGACCCTCAGGCCCTCAAGAAGCTAACATTCTATTTTCAGAAACAACTGATATTCTCATGGACTTCTAAAGCCTTCTGCTTTCTGCCTGGATGGTTTTATATGAGGTAACCTGCATGTAACACTTCACTCTAAAAGAAATCCTACAAGCAAAAACACACTGTGTTTTTCAGAGTGCACAGCATCATCTAACAGGAAATAAAGCTCTATACTTAACTTAGTACATGCTATAGAACATTTTCATTTGAATGTAGTCCTAAAACTACTGGTTGTTGTTTTGGAAGAGAAAATAGTACTTCTTCATATATATATATATATATAATATACCACTTTCTAATAATGTAGGTAGATTTTTAAGATGATACTATACATCTAGTGTTAATGATACAGAATAGCCACATTTCAGAAATAAAACGCCCCAAGGGACACTAACTTTTTAACTTTGGAGGTTTTGGAGTGGTAGGAGATTACTAAGAAAAAGCATATAGATATTTCACTATTTATAATCTATGATTCTCCACACACAAAACTTGCAATAGGAATTCAAAATCAACTTTCTTGGCTTAATATATAACTTTTGGTAGAAATTAAAGATTCTCACCTTTCCGTGATTTTTCCATTTATTCCATCTACGATTTCCAAAGAAATGTCCCCTTGCGCCCAATTGAGACTCAGGGATTTATACTCCAAGTCTGTCAGAAGCGGATATACAGATGGTACTAAGCTAACGTTAGGTCTATTGACCAAATAAAACATAGGAAGCTTGGAAGTAAGGACATCGTCAACACGTTGCTTTATAGCTATTTCTAATCCTCTAGTATGACTGCAGCTTCCATCCCCTAGAAAGGAAAAAAAAAAACTGTACACAAAGGAATGGGGCAAGCAACCAGCAAGCAACAAGCATTTAAGCACCTCTCTAGGCCAGGCACGGTGCTAGGCACAGAGGGTACACAAAGACAACCGTGAAATAGGCCCTACCCTCCAGAAGCATCCATTCGGATGAGGAAACAACATGGAACCCCTAGAAGCATATACACAGCACGTACCAAATGGAGACAAGGGCGTCTTGGAGGGAAGGTTCCAGGCACAAGGTGGTGTTTACGCTACTTCAGGGATTCTAAGAAGCCTGAAGGCTTTCCTAGGACTTCTGCAGGCCCCAAGCTCTAACTTGGCAGACAGAACAATTAGGAGAGTTTAGGGCACCTAGGTACACGAACTGGTTTTTTGTTTTGTTTTGTTCTGTTTTACCATCAGTCTTGGTAACTGCACTTCAGCAGAACTAGTTTCCTTTGCAATCCCCAGTGGAGCAATTTTGCTCCACTGCACCGAAAAGGAGCGTGTAGACTCCACCAAGATTGCCAAATAGTTCCATGACCCAAAAAAGACCAAGAACTGCTTACTCAGTACACAAACTCTCACGTAAGCTCTGGTGAGTGAGGGCCTAATGTAGACAAGAAACCAACTCTGAGAGATCACATTACAGGAGGTCCCGAGTGCCCATGAAAGACTCCACAGCCACTATCTTGGAGAAGCCAGATGGGGGTGGGCTCTGCCAAGCTGGAGAGCTCCTCAGATATGTGAGGCAAAGGACTGCATCTGGACCTTGGGGCTATGATGAAGAGGGATGAATGGCAAACAGGCTGAGGACAGAATCAGAGAAAGGGCAAAAGGTGGAGAGGGTGGGCATTGCACAGAACATCCTTAGCTCTGGCTCCCAATACTGCTACATGCTAATATCCCAATGCAGCCATGACTGTATTCTGATGGGTATCCCTTCCAATGACACAGGGCAAAGCCCAACCACTTTCTGGGCTCCTGTCCATGAATTCAGCACAGGAGGCCCAGAAGCATGCCAACAGCCTTCTGCAGGCTGCCTTCACAACAAACAGGCCCCAAAGGAGCATCAGCCATTTTTTGCTCTCACTGCTTGGCCAAGCTCTCATTTTTTTTCACTTTTTTCCAAGCATATATGTCTCTGATGAAACCCACGTAATCCCCATTGGTGACATGTGGAAGTTTGCTCATGCTCACTACATATCTCTCTTGCTCCCTGGGCAATGCCCAGCTATGATGCCCAGCCATACCCATAACATTACTAGAAGAATAGTGTTGTTACAGAGATGGGCTTTTGTTTCCGAGAAAAGTCTATAGCCTTCACAAGCACAACAATTCTAATTTCCAAATGCCTAGGGACAAATGCATCAGAAACCCCGATGCTCTATCATCCTTTGTCTGGATTTCACATCTAATACCTTCCTACCCCAAATCAGGTCAAAAAACAAGTATAAAGCTTAAAAAATCATCAACACAAAACAAAACACCTTTTTCCAGAAGTACAGAATGGGAGCCCCCAAGTGTATAATGTGGGTACTACATTCGCCAATGTTTCTGGCTTGATTATGAAAAGAGTGAGACATGTGAAAAGAGAAGACAATCTCATCGTGGTCCTCTCTGGCCAACCGACGTCGGGAGCCTCACGTTCACTTCTGAGTGGCTTATTTCATGTGGAGGCCCTGACAAACTACCACGTGACCATGAGGAGAAAACACAAGAAATGAGAAGAGCATGGGGTGTCAGGCCTGGCAAGGAAGATCTGGCCAAAGTAGAATGCGGTAACTTGTTTCAAATACCTAAAACACAGTTATGTAGGAACAGATTTGTTCTCTGTTATAACAGAAGGTAGCAATGGATCAGAGTTACCAGGAGCCAGATTCCGGCTCAATTTAAGGAATACAGTAGCATGTCAGCTCCTTGAGAACAGGAATTGTCTGTTTTTGTCTCTATATCCCCAGCACCTATGTACAGTACAATCACACTTCATACAATTTTTAAAATTAAATTGGGAGCTCTCACCAAGATGACAGCACATTCCTTTCAATTCTGCATCAGTAGCATTAATAGATATCTATACTACATTAGTATAAAACACCTCATACGTTGGTTCAAACAACCTAGAACTTTTCACAAAGCAATTTTTCCAGAGAGGAGAGAAAAGTGGGAATGCAAGCACGGGCTTTCATCAAATGCTTCTGCATCCTCTGTTCCTGGCCACCAAGAGCAGCAACATGATAACCCAAACTAACCATACCCAGTCCCATTCTTACCAACTGCAAAGGGCTGAGTCACTATTAAAGGCTCATTAGAACATCTAGAATTCATTAACATCAATGCAATACATAAGCATCACTACGGAGAAAGAGAGCTATCGTCAAAGAGCAAACATCCCTCTCCATACCCAGAAAAGTCATGTCCTTTAACTGGCTGTATCTCAAAATGTATTAGAAACCAAGGAGAAACAACAAGAATTTTAACAAATAAAACTTGAGGGAAGTCAAATAGCCAGCAACAAGAATACACTTTTGAAAAGCTATCATTATTAAATAATTACTCTTTATTTAATAAAAAACCAAAAATGGCAAGAAAATCAAGTACCATCTTTACACACGGGGCAGATTTATCGGGGGGGAAAAATTTCTTACAGAAGTTTTGTGTAAAATAAATAAAACTCAAAGACATCAAGAAGGGCATCTAATGGTAGTGAAACTGCCTGTATAAATGAAAAGAAATGGCCCCATCAAGATCAAACCCTGCAACAAGAAGGGTTGTGGCTCTCCCTCCAACAACAAGAAGACAGAGAGGAGAGAGGGCAGGGGAGAGACAAAGAGAAAAGAGGAGAGAGAAAGGAAGCGACAGACGGGAACGGAGAATGCACTTCCACATTCCCTGGGAAGTCAGCCTATGCTAGATCCTTTCTGAGAAAGTGGGAATGATGGCATCTCTTTGGGGGAGGGGGGAATGTTCACTCTAATATTCTCCAGGATCCAAAGAACCAAGAAACAAAGCCACAACTTGTGCTGCTGCACGGCTCCTTTTATGTTCCAAGTAATCTCAATAAATTAAATCACAAAGGCCAATCACAGAACTAAATACAGAAGAATCCAATTAGAAGACCTTAAATGATCCAAGGGAAGGAGGGCTTCACTTAAACCCTGACAACTACATTTTACTTTAAGAACATTCCTCAGGAATTCATTTCTTCAGCAATCTGCTCTAATGTCTAATGACTATTACACTACTTCCTAGGACGCAGCCTAGGTATCTTCTTTTTGAAGTCAAACATTTTTCTCTTGTTCTGCCCTCCGCAGAGCTGGGAATCTGCAGCTCACCTCCTGGTACCTTTTCAGAGTGCTAAAGCCCTCTCTAGCTTCAAATTTAATCTGTTTCAAGGAAGCATTCATTCTTCTCCCTTCCAAAAGAAAGGGAGACTGAGAAAAGATAATGAAATGCAGCCCTTCCTCTTGGCAGAGAGACGGAAAACAAGGGAGGCAGAATGTTTCCCACACTGCCAAAGCCAGTCCCTGGATCACTTGTCTACGCTTACCTGGTTTTCCTCAGTTACAAAAGAAGGCAGGGGGGAGAATATTTAGAAAAGATTGTGTTGTAAAAAAACAAAAGGCATCTACTTAACTTTTTTTTAAAGAAAGAAACAAAAACACGAAACAGTTTGAACAAAAGCGGAAACTCAAAACATGATATATATGGCCAGCTACTGTAAATTACATATTATTAATTGGACTAAGGTCTTCTGGCTTGGGCCTCCTAACTCAGAGGCAGCGAGGCATCAGAGGCTACATTATTGTTTCATACATGCTGCACGCACCCAAGACTTACACCACTAAACTCACTGCACTGCTCTTCACACAGTAAATACCTCACCAGGATTTGCAGAACCTTAATTGGTCACGTTCTAGATTGCTTTTGGGCTCATCAGAAGGCCTTCAAGCCATATGCTTACCCACAAGGATACTGTTGATGTAAATGGGCTGGATAAAGTGGCTGAGCAGGGCTCCCTGTACCCCGAGCACCTCCCATCTGGTCAGTTTGTCACTGGAGGACATGCTGCTCACTCGATTACCCATTTCTGCAGGGGAGTAAACTGTGAGGTAAATCTTGCCTTCCACCGCCACGTGGAGACTCAGCTCCTCATTAGCTTCAAATGCAGATAACGAATGAGGATTGAGGCGTCTAAAAAGAGGACAGCAAGGGAGTTACTTTGAAAGCCTGTGCCCCAAAACAAGAGATCCACGTTTAACATTTTAAAGAGAAGAGAAAAAGGAAACAGTCGGTCAGGATTCAGAGCGGAACCTGCTATGGAATGGACCAAGCTTCACTCCTCCTCTGCCCTGACTCCTTTTACCACCATGACCTCCCCACATGGACGAGTGGCCTCAAGATTTCTAAGACTGTCCTCACGGCCACCCCATGAGGGATGGAGGCAGTGGGGGAGCAGGACCGAGGTGGGGAGGGAGGCTGCAGTTCAGAGGCTTTCCTCCTCACTCAAGTTAACACCAAGGCATGAAGAGGGAACACGTCAGAAACCACAGGTGCTCAACTTGGAAGGCAGAAGCACCGGGTCTGAGCCTTGCCTCCATCACTGAGGCCCCGTCTCTGAGCCTCACTCTCATCCTAAGTAAAATGAGGATGATATTTACCTTAGAGGGCTGGTGAGCACCAAATGAAATGTCCTTCTTGTCACTTATTATTATTATTATTATTCAGGCCAAGACAGCATGTTACAGTTGCCTGTCTGTCTTTGAAATCAGTGATGACAATGGATGAAAACCACAAAGCCTGGGAGGATGAAGCTCTTGACCCCTCACAGCACCCAAAAAGGAGGAGTCAGGCTCCATCCAGTCAGAGTGCTCCAAACAAGGAATTTCCATGAACACCTTACTGAAAACCATCAAGCATAATCACTTTCCTGACCAAACCACATTGCCCGGGGGCGGGGGGGGGGGAGAAGAGGAGGAGGAAGCAAAAACAAGGAAAAAAGAAAAAAGGGAAAAGAAAAATTGGAAACTAGTCCAGAAATGCAGTTCTACTTGCCACAACCACAGAAAAAGTGCAGAACTCTCTCTGCTCTGTCACATTCCCACGTAATGCAGGAAACCCAATTTACTTCCACGTCAGGGTTCTCATCCAGAGAACCCGTCACTGCCTCTGGCTGTGACAACAGCTACTGGGCAGATAGCACTCAGACAGTTTACAAGGGTCTTGAACCTCCCACAAACCTAATGAGGCATGCAGCTAGTGATATAATCCTCATCTGGCAGGAGAAACTGGTTCTCCAGGGGATTACATGACTTGCCCAAGTGTCACACAACTACAGGATTCAAACCCAGGCTCAGCCTCTACCATTGTCATTATCCATGATGCCTCAAACACAGACTCAAACGTGCGTAGTTAGTGTGACTCCAGACTTAGAAAGTGCACTGCAGATGTATCTTTTATTAAAATTGGTATTTGTATACAGTCTGATTCCATGACAAGTCATTCCTAATTTGTCTAATTCCCATAGATCACTTAATGGGAATAATATTTAAAGTAATGAGTAATATTAGAAGAAACAAGGGTAGTTAGCCACATTCTTCTCAGTGTATCTCTCGATAACACAACACACAGGATACAGCTGTGAACCTCTCCCCTTTCTCATTAGACAGACTGAGCCACACCAGTTACCTCCTGAGCCTTTACTATCGTGAAGGCTACAGGAACCTGCCGCCCTCCCTAGGCTTGGCTGTGACCACAACAGGAAGCACAGTGCCCTCAGCTGCTCGGGCAGGGAGCTGTTTGCAACCTACAACATGAGGTCCTTGGTGCAACGAGAAGCGGAACAGGGCATTTCCGTTATTTTGGTAGTAGTAAAATAGCAGTAGCAAGAACAGTAGCGATCCCAGAGGAAGGGATGAGGGACCAGTTTCTGGAGAGCAGGTGGGGAAGAAAGAAGTTAGAGCTGCTACAGCTCACAAGTCATCAACTCTGTCTGAGAAGGAGAGACAGGGGTTACTTTGGGGTATCTGAGGGGAGGAACTCTCAGTTACTAAAACAATTCTTTCTAAAATACGTGGTCATTTTTTTTATAAACACCTGAAAAATACTTACAGTTGTGACTTAATTTGAGCAGATCCTTTTGGCAACTGGTTCAAATACAAATAAATGTTGATATTCTGCTTTAAAGTGAGGAAATTGGAAGCTGGTTCAGTACAAAATATTGACTTATCCATCATAGCAGGGTTTTTGCTATAGAAGAGCAGAAGCTGTCTATAGAAGTACCTGAAATAAAGCAGGGAAACCTGTCCAAGGACTCAGTGTGTGCAGGAGGTGTGTGTGTGAGGCCCAGCCTCTTGAGTCTGGCATTCAAAGTCATCCACAATCTGGTACTATCTGACCTGACTGCTCACCGTCATGCTGACTCCAGATATGTATCTGCCGCCCCCTCCCACCTTCAATAGCTCTAGGGTGAAATCCCAAGACCAGGATGAAGGCTCCTTCCATGAAGCTCACACCCAGGCAGAACTGGACTTTCCCTTCTCAGATCTCCCAAAGCACTGTGTAATTATTTCATTCTGTCCACATGGGATATCCCAGGCCCTTGCTAGACTCCTAAGGTCCACAAGGCAGGTGCCATGGCTCACTTATCTGTGCATCTGCCCCAAATCCAGCATAGCACCCAGTCCAGATGGCTCATTTGTCTCCCAACCTGCTCCCTTCTCCACATGAAATCCCCTTCCCCTGTTTGCACCACATCAGTTTTCTCCTCTGCCCACCACTGCCTTCTTCTAAAAATGGCCTTTCTTAGGGCATAGGGCATGCTCCTTTTTCCCTGTCCCGCTCTGCCTGGCAGAGCCGGGGGTCTGCCTCTCTCCTCTGCTGCCAGAGGCCACAAAGGTCTTTCTCCTGCAACACAGGCAGATGTCCATGAGGGCACAGGCAGGCAGACTGCCCTGGAAAGAGCAGCCTCTACCATGCTCAATATGTCAGACTCAGGCACCATCATCATGAGGAGGCAGATCTATAGTTGCAATATGACCCCTCCAAAAATCACTTTTACTGGGAAAATATTCTGAAAGGCACTAACAGCTAAATGAGAAGGCAAACTAATACATGCTTAGAATGGAAAATAACTCGGTAGAATAAACTGATTTTAATGAATGTGTCACATCTGGTCTTCAACCAAAAGGGACAAGTGTAAAATGAAGTGTCAAACTATTTAAAAAAGAAAAATAGCTCAAAAACAGGCAATGACTCAAAGAGCGTCAAAACAAAAAACAAGCAAAACAACCTCCTCCTTGCCCAATTAGTTGTTTTAAATGACTATAATGCCCCCTCCACCACGGCAGTCTCAAGGTGGCCCCCCAAGTAACAGGAAAGGCCCACTGAAGCAAGAAAGACAATCAGTCTAACTCCTGCTGCTGCCTCCCAGCCCAGCCTACACTACAGACCACAAGCATTCACCCACGGCAGGCTGGCCCCACACACAGCCCAGACACCAAAGCTCATCCCCTTGTGGCCTCACCTGAGCAGAGAGCGCCTGGCAGTAACCACAGCATGGGTATCATGAAGCACACGCCCATCTAGTTTGATGCACTGGCTGTAATTGTAGTCACCCGTGCCCACGGCTACAACTTCATGCTGTCCAGCTGAAAAGGGACACGTTAACAACAGAAGCTCGTTTTTTTCCCTTCTCTCTTCCCTTACATTTAGATCAAATACTTTAAGGATCCATGATTTTGAATGCCCATATACATTTAAAATGCGTCAAATAAAGGAGCCAAAAAAGAGGGGAGAGTAGCAAACCTTGAGAACCCAGCTTTCATGGCATCGTCAATCTAACTAAAAGGCAGCACTGGAGTGAGAACAGATGATAAGCATCATCATTACCACTACTAGTGATTATAGCAAAAAGCCCACATTCTGGAGGACTTTAAGGTTTGCAAAGCATTTTATTTATATACATTCCTGCATTTGAGCCTCACAACTACTCTAGGAGGTAGGTATTTATTAGTACCTCCATTTAATAGATGAGGGAAATTATGGCAGTGGTGACTTGTCCAAGGTCACCCACAATAAGTGTCTGAGGCAAGACTGGAAAGCAGGTCTTCCTGTTGCCAAATCCAGCATTCTGCTGAAAGAGGTAGAGTTATCATCTCCTCCATCCCAAGAAGCCTTTTTTCTTGGCCCTTTAGGCCATCCTTACTTCCGCTAACTAACTCCTCAAACAGTATTTACACTCACTGCTTCCATTTCCTCTCCACCTTCATCTTCTTTATCATTCACCATTTACCACACTTCTCCCTATCGGCACCAGACTGTAACCTATCAAAAACCAGCTCCTCAACATTCTCTGGCTTCCTAGTCATAACACATCACACACACGCCCTCCTCTGCAGAGCCTACATGCATAATCTGTGCAACTCGACACACAAGGCTCTGTGCTGGGTGTGGGATTTTGTTTTTTCAAACCAGAACAAAATTCCAGTATGGTGGCCCTTTGACAGCCCAAAAGCTGGGGCCCCAAAGGCCAAAATGACAGGAGCTCACGTTCTACTAGAGAGCTGCCAGCACCTGGTTCCTCTCACCTTAACTTGACTTTTTACCACTTCCAAATGCACAATCAGCTCTTCGAGACCTCACTGTCCTTACAACAGGGCTTTTCCTTGATACTACTCTCTCCCTTTTCAAATAATGTCTTTTCTTCCCCTGACTATGCAAAAACCTTACTGTATTTTTCTTCGTTTTCTTTTAAGACTGAGTCTCCCTACCTTGCCCAGGCTGGATCCCATTACTGACTGGCACAGGAGCTTCTGATCTGGGCTGACACACTCCTCTCAGGCAACATGGGGGCTCCTCATACTAATGCCCAGATTTCAAGCAAATGCTTCCTCAGCTTATTAACCCACTGCAGCTAAGGACCCCCCAGCTCAAGAAACCCTCCAGCCTCAGCCTCTCCAGCAGCTGGGATCACAGGTGTTTACCACTACATTTGGCCCCAGGAGTCTCTCAAGGCCAAACTGGAATTAGCTTCTCTGTTAAGCCTTCCCTATGGTCCTTCTCTGAATCTCAAACACTATTTAAGTTGGTACCACGTAATTTAGCAATTAACTGCCTGCTAGTGTTTCACATGGTATCTCGTCTCCATAAAGCTCTCTGAGCACAGGAAGCAAGTCCGATACATCCATCTCTGTAAATATTCCCACAGACCTATTCTGCATTCCAATACTTCATTATTTCTGGGGCTCATCTATTTCTAGGAGACTTAATGAAACCAAAATGAACAAATGAAAAGAAGTGAACAAAACTGGCGTTAGAGGAGTCACGAAAAGGGCCACAAGATCTCCCAACAAAGCTGGAGACCATTCAAGTCAAGGCAGACATTCCCACCTTTCAGGAATTTTTCCTCTCTCAGTTTAAAATGAGGAAAACAGGATTATTATAAGACAGTTTTGCATTTTCCCATGAGACCAGCTGATCAGCTCTATACCTCAACTCAATACCTGTGGGCCCTTCAGTCTTATAGTCCTTGGAACACCTAAGACTTGCCACATTATTTCATGGCCTATTTTTGGTTCCATCGGACTGTGGCTCCCCCTGCCCCTTACTGCCCCTTTCCTTCCCACTATTGCTGACTTGACAGTAGTAGCGATGGCAGCAATGCTGGGGGGGCAGGGGGGGCGGTAACTGCAAATCCTACTGTCACCACACGGACCGATCTGCAGGACAGAGAGTTAAAGGGTGCTAAGTACCTTTGTGGGGCAGAGGCCAGGATTTATCTGTCTGCCAACATATCTGAACTACAGTTCAGTCTACGACTTAATTAGGCAGAACAAGACATGATGCTTTCCATCTTTCCCTTTAAATCCTCATCCTCCAATCCAACTTACCTCTTTCAATTACAAAAGCAGCCAGTGAGCTGCTACAATTCCAATACTCCAAATGCTTGGCAATTAGACAATTAAAGGTATCCTTAATTGCCTCCGAGATCTCTGCATGCTGGATATGCCTTCCTTCTAGGAAGAAAACATCAAAAACAACATAAACTGGCCCCAGTTTGGGGATCTTCAGCCTCCATTTTGTTTACGCTTTATCATGAACAAACTCTGATCTGGGCTCTAGGACAAGAGCAGCATTCGCTTCACTTATGAGCTTTAACGAACACTCCACTTGTAGCTAATGATACCAGGCAAACCCCACGTCAGTGATGAAAAAGACATTACAATGTGTAACCTTTCATCATTAAATTGGTATCACTAAAGGAGGACAACATCTGAGGCTGGCGTTCCACACCTGCCTTAGGAAAACCTTCAACTGTAACCAGCACGGAACTTTCGCACTACGGAGCAATGCCGACGCCGGAATGCTAATTTACACAACTGGGAAGAGAATCAACCCGATAACACAGATCTAGAAGGCGTCACATAAGGGCTTCAAATTCATAGCTCCCTAAAGCTCCTAAAAGGCCCGGATTCCTGCTCCCATGTCTACAGGTATGCAGAAAGAGCTTAGCGCTTTCCTTCGTCCAGTCCTCAGTAACGTCCAACGGTGTCACACGGGCTCAGAAGGGACCCCTGCACACCCAGGGCCGTGTCCTGCTCAGCCCCGACATCCGAGGCTTCCTTCAGGAGACAAGCAGCAAGTGCAGGAAAGCCCACTTTGTGGCACTCCCCCATACAATGCCACTTTGCAGGAAAGTGGCCCAAGCAAAAGTCTGGGGTGGGGAGCCCCACTTATATCATTCTCCTGGTTGGGTAGCAATTTGAAGGAAAAATAATTCCTGATAAACTGGAATAATCAGGAATCAAATCCAATACCAAGCTGGAAAAATAAACAAGGTTGTCTAGAAAATGCACCGGACCAAGTCCTGATGAGGAAATTCAAGGAAAAAAAATTACAGTGAGTCCTCTTTCCAGTCCAGGTCAGCACAGGGAGACAGACAGGTGTCTGGATCCTAAAGAATGGGACGCGCCAGAAGCGCATCAAGCAGAGCCTTCCGGCACAAGATCAAAGCTGCACGCCAGGCCAAGAAGCGCTCTCAGACCCACAAGGGAAGAACCAGTGCCGACTAACATCGCCCACCTCCAAGCCACACATCCAGGGTAGACTGGATGGGCCTAAATTATCGAAAAGAAACAAGATAGTTCAAGGGGGACAGACTGGGGGAAGCACTGCATATTAAGGAAACCTGCCCAGAAGGTGAAATCCAAGGACCTGAATCATAATAGACGGCATGCGCATGAAGGTCGTGAAGGTCGCTGGAGGAAAAACACAAGTGATTTTGTGAAGAGTATACTGGAGTTTACCTCCAGCACAGAAAGAGGAGAGAGCTGAAGGCTTTGGGAGAAAGAACCCAAGCACAGCAAAGACACAGGGTACAGCGGTAAAGAGAGACTTCACGCATCCAGGAGTCTGCTGCAGCTTTTTCTCTTAGCTAAAAACAGAGCAGCTAATAGCTTGGCATGCCTTAGTAATCATTTCATCCCTCAAAAGACAAAGGCACTAACAAGGGGAAGCTCGATCATAGACAGGATTTCCAACACCGTGGAGTAACTGCACAGCGAGGGGGCACAATGGATAGAGCTCTGGGCCTGGAGTCAGGAAGACCTAAGTTCAAATCTGGCCTCAAACACTAATCGTGTGACCTTGGGCAAGTGACTTCACTGCTGTTTGCCTCAGTTTCCTCATCTGTAAAATCAGAATAATAACTGCACCTACTCCCCAGGGTTCTTGTGAAAATCAAACTGGACCACTGTAAAACACTTAGCCCAGTACCTGGCACGTAGTAAGCGCCATATAAATGTTAGCTATTAGCTACGTTAGCTACAACTGGTTGCCGGGGGGGGGGGGGATGATGGGAACTCTGGAAAGAAGTTGGTGAAGGAGAAGAAACATGAGATATCATCTGACTAGATTTTGGGAAAATACATTTCAAAGGCAGCAGAGCAAAGAGAGGTGGAATCCCATGGAACTAAACTGCCTCCATGAAGCCAGTCCAAGAGGCACGGGAGATGCTCAATTGGAATATTCTAAGGACAAAAATAAAGGGAGATCATTCTAATGAGGAGAAAAACGTAACGTGTCTAAAGGGGGAGATGCAGAGGCACAGGAAGATTCACCAAACGATTCAGATGTTTAAAAGAAACGTACTGAAGATGGCAGCCAGGACAAGCGATGGAGGACAAGTGTGAGCACAAGGCACAGTCCTGTAAAAACAACACCAGGCATGCTGATGTTCAGAACGCATCAAGGCTGGGGAGCAGAGAGGATGATGATAACAGCAACGATAATGATAATGTTTTCAGCTGCAAGGCTTTTATCGCAGAGACTTGGAAGAGGGGCCTGCAGACGACAGAGAGAAGCCGAGGTGCTCAGCTCTTATTCTGCTCTGGGAAGGAGAGAGAACAACCAACAAGGCATTCCTACTGTGCAGAGGTGGTGACGGGGCCTCTTACAGCCCGATGGTTCCAGTTCTCTGGGCCACATCCTCAGGGTCTGAGAGAACAGGCAGCCCCTGCAGAGGTAAGAAGAAGATCATGGGAAATGGGAGAGGAGATGCAGAGGTGGAGAAGGGTGGGGGTCCCATTGTCCAAAAGGAGAACAAACTGCAAACAACAGGTCTGTGATCTTGTCTAGAATGGGAGTGACCACAAAGACGAGTGACCAAACACCTAGAGAAGAGTCGATTGCAAAGAGCCCACATGGCTTCATAAAGAACACGAAATGCCAGAGTAACCTCTTTTCCATTCTGACAGGATTACTTAACTAGTCAATGAAAGGGATGTAGTTTACTTAAAATTTTAGCAAAGCTTTTGATAAAAATAACTCATGATATTCCTGTGGAAAAAACAGAAACGTGCAATAGATGATAGAACCAGAACTGGGGGGACGGACACTCAAAATACATTTGTCAATAGTTCATGATCAATGTGGCGGGAGTGCAACGGCTCAGGGACAAGTGCTTGGCCCTGTGCTATTTAACATTTTAACAATGTCTTGGATAAAGGCCTGGATATGCTCATCAATTCTGCAGATGACACAAAGCTCAAACAGCCAGCTGACCCACAGAACCATTGCGTCCGGATCCAAAAAGGACTGTGACAAGCAGGCACGTTGGGCTGAATTTAATATGATGAAATTTAAGAGAAATAAATGTAAAGTTAAACTTGAGTACAAAAAATCAATTACCCAAATGCAAGATGGAAAGACAAGGGATTGATAGCAAGTAATTCCTCAAAAGATCCGAGGGTTTTAGTGGGCTCCAAGGTTATGACAAGTCAGCAGCATGAGGTGACAGTCAAAAAAGCTAATGGGATCCTGGGCTGCATTAATGGGACTAGCCTTCAGGAATAAGGAAGTAAGAGTCCCTTTGCACTCGGCCATTGTCAGACCTCATCTGAAGAATCCAATTCAATTCTGGACACCACAGCTAAAGAGCGACAGGGACAAGCTACAAAGTGGCCAAAGGAATCAGGAACAGCGAGAAGCCTAAGTCTACATCACATGAAGACCAATGGAAGGAAATGGAGGTGTTTAGCCTGGGGAAGAGAAGACTGAGGGGAGACATGATAGCTGTCTTCTAGCACTTAAATGACTCATATGGAGGATGGAATAGACTTGTTCAGTTTGGCTCAAGAAGGAGGAACCAGGGGGAACAGGCACAGGTTACAAATGGATCAATTTAGGCCAGATGACAAGAAACATCTCCTAACAATGAGAACTGCCCCCAAGTGGAATGGCTTGTATCGAGAGGGAATGAGCTCCTCCTTCTTCAAAGCCTTCAAGCAGAGGCTACACAGCCACTTGTCAGGTGTGATACAAGGAAGGTTCCCTTCCTCTCTGTGTTGGATTAAACTGAGGGATCGAGACTCAACTCCAGATTTCTCTGGTACAGAGACTGTCTAGATGGGGAAATTCCCTCTACTAATGCAGGCTGCCACCTTCTCTGAAACCGAGAATGTCAGAAAGCTGCCTAGAGCACAGAGAGCAAGCAAAGTGGCTTACTCAGAGACACCCAGCCACTACATGTTGGACGGCAGATTCGAATCCAAGTCTTCCAGGCTCCAAAGAGCTTGCTTGCTCACTCCCATGCATTCCTCCCTGTCCCCCCTTCTCCAAACTAAGAAAAATTGAAAGGAGAAATACCATTTTAAAAATAACAAAATGTAATAAATATTTAGGAGCAAGCTTACCAAGGCAGATGAAACACTCATATATATGCAACTAGAAAAGAAATTTTGTGGAAATAAAGAACTAGATATGCATAAATGGGTCACATAAATGTATGTTCAGATAATAACACAAGCCAAATTATCTACACATTTCACGCTATATCAAAATTCTAATGGGTTCCACTTCATAGAGAAAATAATAATAAAATATGAGAGAATGAAACATCTAAAATATCAAAAGAAATCACGAAAAAAGGTTAAGTTGAAAAAGGGTTCAGGCATTGTTGAATCTCAAGTTACAGTATAAAGCAATAATTATTAAAATTAAATGCTACTAGATAAAAAATAGAAAAGTCAAATAGCGGAAGAGAAAAGATTTACAACCAAATGTATTTAGTAGTCTTATATTCAATATATCCCAAAATACAAATGACTGGGAAAGGAATTTATTAATCAATAAAGCTTCTTGGAAAATATTGCAATTTTTCTTTTAAAGAGCAGAATATTAAAGACTATAATCTCTGGTCTTTTAAGTCTAGAATCTTAAACCGGATAGCATAAATTCCTAAAAGAGCAACAGTACAAATGTAAAAGTCATACTATTAAAAAGGAGGATAACAGAAGATTGTGTCTTTCAGAAATATGGATAGGAGAAAAATTCCTAACCAGTCTGAATAGAGAAACAAAAAGCTTTTGCAAAACTAAAAGTGATACAGCTAGAGTAAGAAAGAAAGCTAGAAAGAAAGAGGGGAGAGATCTTTGGATTAAATATCTCTAATAAAAGACAGCCATCCAAAAATAAAAAACACACTGAAAAATGTATGAGTCATTCTGTTGCAATCTAG